TTTCCTTCATCTCTGTCATTTCTCTTTTCCATGCTTTCTTTTTCAGTGGTCTTTCCCTTCCCCCACCCCACTGCAGCTCACAAATCGAAATATTTTTATTTTTAATGTTATTGAAATGGACAAAACTTATTTATACTAGCCTGCAATTTCATCCTTTGGTGTGATATTCTAATCTGATGCAGATTACAATGGAATGTAGATACTGTACCAGATTATACATTTCTAGTGAAAGACCTGTACTTATTATTTTGTTGTCTTTATGTTCCTTCAATAAAGAGTGTCTAAAAAAACGAAATATTATCTTGAGAAATGAATATTCCACACCTGACTGCAGCTTCTTTTAGAGACCAAAAGGTACTGTTGGCGACAGATATGCTTTAATCAACTAAAATTAATTATTCCACTTTAAAAGCAAAATAATAATGAGATGCATAACCCCCGGACCTCTCTTACTAGTCATGCCAAGTTTCATGTGCCTAGGCTTCATGGGCTTAGTTGCTATGGCAGGAAGGCACACACACACAAATTTATATAATAGAATCATAGAATAACAAAGTTGGAAGGGGCTTATAAGGCCACTGAGTCCAACCCCCTGCTCAATGTGCGTATTGTCCTAAAAACCTCAGCTGTAAATCAACTTATAAATTGAAGGATGGGATGAAATATTGCATGACTTCATTAAAGACAAATGAAGAAATGCTTAAATATTGATTAGTGCTTAAATAGTGAATAAACCAAGTAGTCAGGTAATTTTTGAAAACAGATGCTCAAATACAGATTGCTTTAATGTCAACCTAGTACATTTTAAAGAACTACCTCTAAACAATTCCACAGATTACTCATTTCGGAAGAATAATTATGCACTTCTGCGGCTATAAAAATAATTTCAAATGCCATCTCATTGTGTTCAAAAACTCTGTTAGAAGTGGCTCCTATGTCATCATAAACACTAACTGGTGTTTTTCATGATATCATAGCATTTTGCGTAGCTAAAAAGGCTTTCCAGTTAAAATGTTAGTTTGTGAGATCTCATTCATGCACACCGGTCTGCCCCTGCCCCAGGCGGCACAGAATAGATAACTAAAAGTTAATCAGGTAAAATCCAAAGAAACAAAGACAAAAGACAAAAAAAAGACAAAAGCATGTGGCACCTTAACAGATTGCTTTAATGTCAACCTAGTACATTTTAAAGAACTACCTCTAAGCAATTCCACAGATTACTCATTTCGGAAGAATAATTATGCACTTCTGCGGCTATAAAAATAATTTCAAATGCCATCTCATTGTGTTCAAAAACACTGTTAGAAGTGGCTCCTATGTCATCATAAACACTAACTGGTGTTTTTCATGATATCATAGCATTTTGTGTAGCTAAAAAGGCTTTCCAGTTAAAATGTTAGTTTGTGAGATCTCATTCATGCACACCGGTCTGCCCCTGCCCCAGGCGGCACAGAAAAGGTAACTAAAAGTTAATCAGGCAAAATCCAAAGAAACAAACAAAAAAAAGACAAAAAAAAAAAAGACAAAAGCATGTGGCACCTTAAAGACTACCTATTATATTTTCATGTAAGCTTTCGTGGACATGAAAGCTTACATTAAAATATAATAGTCTTTAAGGTTCCACATATCTTTGTCTTCCTTTGGATTTTGCCTGATATGCTTGAAAAAACTACCACAACAGCCTCTTCTAAAACTAAATGTTAACCATATTACTGTGCTAGCTAGTTAGAAATTTTTGAGATTTGAGGGCCTCTGCCTAACTATTAAGAAATTAGAAGCAATTCTGTTATTGTATTTTTTTAGATAAACCCTAATATAGAAATATATAAAATTGAGCATGGTAATATCTATATTCACCAATACGCACACAGAAAATAGATGAAGCTGATCCAAGATGCTGTTTCACACATCCTATGTATATTTATAAGGTACAATATTATCTACAGTACACCATGTACAAAACAATGTTTTAAAAAAGAAACCTCAATGACACAACAGTCTCTTAAGACAGAGGATGGGACAGGAACACAAATCTGGGATGTTACTTCAATCTCATATCAGCATTCAAATGACAATACAGTAAATAATGATAATCCCCAAAGCACCTCACATTATGGTGAAGACAGTGGCCCCAATCAGAGCACTTTCTATTCATGTAGAGATACTCCTTTATCATGCCCATATGGTGTTCCACCTAGCAATAAGTTCAATGTGCATGTAACAGAGATGATTTCTAAACAAAAGTAAATGGAAATAGTTCTCCAAATCTTTCTAACAGAGAGCTTTGTGGAGCAAGGGGAAGACAGCTTGATTAATCCTAGTGGGAGAAGAGCTTTCCATTAATCATGGAGATAACCTGTCTTTTGTTACTCCTTTAGGAACACAGTTCTAACAGATAATAATGCAGCCTGGAAAAGCCTAAGTTCTGAAGAATTCAGGAGGCAAAGAATATAATAGTTCTATATGTAACTTAAAGGCAAGGAGATAGAACTGTTTCAAGGACCAACAGCAGTTCAAATTAAGTTTGGGTCAATCTGTGTCTGGCACCAAATATAATGTAATTATTTTTTTTAAAAAAAATATGGAGAATAACACCTTCTGTAAGCACTAATCTTCCAGATGTTTCAAATTAAACAATGACAAGAATCCAGATAACTACAGTACACAAGCCAAGACGCTGTGTGATTCCGCCCATCCCCTTTTAAAGCACTTTAGTTTATTTCACTGGTATTTTATCTGATTGCATATGATTATCTGATCCCTTCAAATGTAAGAGTTATATATATAGCCAACAACAGTTCATTTATCATAGTAGCTTGTGTGGCTGTGATCCACCTGCACCAGCTATGGAGTGCAAAGCAAAAGATTACACGTTATGAGATCTTCTTCCCGAGGGATGTAGAAGCAGCCTTGGAAAGGCAAAGTTGATTTTTTTTTTTAACAAGAGAATACCATATACTGAAGGAGGAAAGAAGGAAGACTGAAACATCAGTTTTATTCCTTTATACACAAAGGATAAGGTTCACTGTTGTGAACAGAATAAAGTGCTTTTTATACACAACTGACTTCTATGCAGAAACAACAGCCATTATTATCTCAACAGATAATTTTTATTGTACTTAATCTTGCATAATAATTATAGCCCTTTCATTGACCATAAGAAACCTCCTACCAAAAGGTTGTACTGTATGCTTAACTCTACACTACAAACTGTTTCAGAGAGATAACATCTCCCAAGCCTATTCAGTTTGTTCACTGGATTTTACTGTGCATTAATGCTGAAACAATATTCTAGAGCCTTGTTTGTTCTTGTTTTAACAGCTCAGTGAGTTAAGTATTTGGCTGCAGAGCCAGAAGTTGGGAGTTCAATTCCCCTCTCTGCTTCAGAATAGAAGAGTCAGTCTGTGTGGCCTTTGAAAAGCTGAACAGTCCCAGGGTGCCCCCCAGAAGAAGTGAATGGCTAGCCATTTCTGAGTACTCTCTACCTAGAAACCCCTGAGAACTGTCGCCATACGTCAGAATTAAATTGTTGCATATGATGATGATTATTAAATTACCGTAATTTGGGGGGGTGGAACAGGTTAAAACCACTCTTTAAATATCTCACTTACCTTGAAAGCCCTACTAGGGTCACTATAAGTGACTGGATGCCACATAACATCAGCTAATGAAAATATTTCTGCACAATGTGTTGTAGAATATGAAGCAAAGATCCCATTATTCTATGTACTGTCCGTCTTCACTAGAAATAAGAGGAAAAGCATTTCCCTCCCTTAGTCCGAGACAAGTTTAAGAATTTATTACAATTGATTATGTAACAACACAGCAGGAAAAAACAACCCCAGATCCAATCTCTTTAAGCTTGTCTGAGAATAGGACTCACTTCAGATGTAGACGAAGATAGCATAAATCTTGTAGAAACTGCTAAATAACACCCCCCCAAAAAAGGTAGAAAGTATATAGGAAATGATCTCACATCATCAGGAATCTTCCTTAACTGGGAAACTCATGCATTAGAGCAGTGGTTCTTAACGTGGGC